GTGTGCATATGATTGAACATAGAGTACTTAACACACATAATATAAAACCTAAACTAAATTACCCAAGCTTGATGATGATCTTCATTGTAGCTCAACTTGATGTGTGTGCATATGATTGAACATAGAGTACTTAACACACATAATATAAAACCTAAACTAAATTACCCAAGCTTGATGATGATATAATGTGTGTGCATATGATTGAACATAGAGTACTTAACACACATAATATAAAACCTAAACTAAATTACCCAAGCTTGATGATGATCTTCATTGTAGCTCAACTTGGTACACCTTGCGGATAAAGCTTGAACTTGGATCTTCAACTTGAATTGCAATGCTTCAACCACTATTCTGCTAACCTCCATTGGATACGATCGTTGAGGCTCGATTCCATCCATCCTCTAACATATTGTTTGTCTACAATAGATACAAAACACAAATACTAGACAAATAACATTAGAAGTAAATTGTTTGTAAATCATCATCAAAACAAAAGGACCCAACAAAGGTAGGTTTTGAGGAGAGGAGGAGAGAAGAAGAGGAGAAATGAGCAGTTAGGGGAGAGGAGGAGGAGAAAGACACACAAAAGAAGAAGAAAAGGAGAAATGGTATTTTCGAAACTTTTTAGGGATAATTTTTGGGAGAGAGTGAATAAGGGCTAGATCACAATTTCTTGAGTCTTTTGGGAGTAAAACACATGAGAAAAACTTTAAGGGGTTGAGCCACAAGAGTTTTCTCTTTTTAGAGTCGTGACACATTTTCCCCTCGTAATTAAGTATCTTGAGTTAATTTTTTAGAATTAATTTGTAAATGAGTCTATTTTAAAATTTTCTTTGGGGGCGGACAGGGCGTTTAGGTAAATAAATATGGAAGATTTGGGGTATATGGCCTTGGCGAAATAAACCCATTGAGAAATCCTTTCATGAATGTTTCTCCATTTCAGCCCGAATTCTGTTCCTCTCTCTAAAACGCTGCCTCGTGACGCTCTCTCTCTCTCTCTCTCTCTCTCCATTATAACTCCAATCTATCCACCTCCCCCAGGAAAAATTCGCAGTCATGAACGACGACGATGATTTCGGCGGTCTCTACGCCGATATCCTCCTTCCTCTTCCCTCAGCTCCGACCACCCTCTCGCTCACCGGCGGTGACCATACCTCGACCAAAAACCCTAGCCCCGGTCAGCCCCTCGATGCCCTAGCTCCATTCGCCGACGACGATCCGAAGGATGATTTGGTTCCTGACAATTGGAGCGATGACGATCAGGTCCCCGTCGCGAAATTCAAAGAAAAGGTCGGTCCTGGCGTCTCAACCGAAGGAGGGGGAGCTAGGGTTTTTGGATCACCCGCAAACGTCACGGCCGAGGTTAGGAAGGATGAGGGAGCTAGGGTTTTTGTGGAGGAGAAGATGGAGAATGGGGATCTCGGTCAAGAACCAACCATTCCTGGTTTATCTGCTGTTCCTTTATCGAGCAACGGCAGCCTGAGGATTTCTAATGCTGATGATTGGGATAGTGATAGCGACGACGATCTACAGATTGTGTTGAATGATAACAGGCACATGCCGATGGGGAATGAGATGAACGAGGAAAACGATGACGGGGAAGAGGATTTGGTTATTGTTACGGACGAGCATCATCAGGCGGCGGAGGAGCAGGATTGGGGTGAAGGGGAGCTGCAGCTGGCAACTGATGGGGACACAAAAGGGGCTTCAGAGGCGGCAACAGCGAATGGAGCTGTTGGAAGTGTCTCTGCTGGACCAAGGATTGGTCATCGTAACCAGGCATTTCATCCTCAGCATAATACTATGTTCAAGGTCAGAACTTTTTGATGCCAGATTGTAATTAGTGGAGATTTTACGGGTTTAGTTTGGTTAGCTTGCTCCTTGTAAATGAAACCTTTTATATCTTCGTGTATCAACCGGGGTGAATGAGTGTTTGAATTTTTTTCCCGTTGATAATTGATAAGAAGTTGAATGTACAAGTGATATCAACTTTGTATTATTTCAGCCCCTAAATTGAAAAAAGGGCAGAGCAGAAATACTGTAATTATTTCCTTTCTTGATTTCTTTCGTCTTGTTGGAAGTTTGCACAGATGCATATAAGTCGTCATAAATTCTGTAGATATTCAATGTAGCTTTCTTAGTTGTTTTACATGCAAGTTGATTTCATGATATGTTCATACTAAAACATTGCATATTCATCTCTGTACTGTATGTCACTTTAACAAGAAAGCTCACCAAAATCAGTATGAGACTTTCCCCTGTGGGAGATTCCACTGTGGAAAATGAGACCATCAAATTAGAAGACAAGCACTATATGAATCAATTTCATTATGCACTAAGGCTAGTAGTGTCGTTTGAAGGCTCATTCAAATCCAGGAGTGCGCAATTAGTACTTGTGGGTGGAGGAGGG